CAATAACGGAAACCATTACTCAATACTCAATACAACTTCCCAGTTCCCATGTGGCATGTGCTTACTGCTAGAAGACTAGTTACTTTTGGGCCAGCCCAAATTCAGTCTTGCAGCTTTTATGGACCATTTTGTGAATAGCGGATTAGCATTTTAATAAAACTTCAATACAAGAAAAGAAAAGGAAACTTGAATTCACCATCTTCAAGAGCGATTGTGTAGTGGGCTGTTACTCCACCTTGAGCAAAAGAAATTGGATAAGCCAGAATTTGAATAACGTCAGAATATGATTAATGATCACATGTTATCCCCAGAGGAAACATGGCTAAGAGACTCAAATGTACTTGCTTCTCAAAACATCATCATAATCAACACGAAAATGAACATGATGATGATGATGAATAAGAGAGTTGGCCCATAACATAATTCTCTAAGCATGCTAACAATACACCAAAATTAGTTAATGGCAATTCGCCACCAACCCAAATCAACGAAATCATGTATCTGTTCACTGGTCAGCGACATTTTTCTAAAGCCAATGTCTCTTTGCAAACTCTTTTTAGGAATATTTACTCATATGTGAATGTTGAATGTAGCTTTAAAATTAACCTTCAAAGCTGACCATGCACAGACAAAATCATTGCTCAACCTCACTGTTCCATGCTTCAAACCCCCCTTTTTTTCTCCACTTTTAAGACCCCCTTTCTATTTAAATATGCTTCACACTAATAGAGAAAGTACTGTGTTGTGTATCCATTGAGTATCATCAAGTTTCATGCATTTTATAACAATGAATGAATTTTATTATACCAATCGTTATAATTAATCTTGATTTATGCTCTAAATAACTACTACCATTCTTTCTCATGATTCGATTCTCTTCTTTTCATGTGGGTCTAAGAGGAATTTTTCTTTACTGTTATTCCACTTTTTAACTTGTATCCCAAAGTTAGATTAGATGCTTTGTTTGATGCCATTTTTCTTCTATCAAGAAATGCAATCTACCAAATTTGATCCCAGATTACTTGTCCCTCATTTTCTGTTTTCACTTTGTGCTCTGGTTGGTTTACAAAGATAGATAAATAAAAGCTTTATTTCAAAGCAAAGCATTATCTGAATTTAAGGTTGTTCTATATAAATAATCAAATCCTTTACCCTGTGGCTCAAACATTCTCTTTAATTGTGTCAAAGTTTGTGGACTGTTCTTTTAGACTTTGAAATTTGAATATAATTAACCATTATATAGCAGATTAAGTCAAGAATTTTCAACAAAGTCATGATTGCAAATTTATTAAATGTTTAAATTATATAGTTAACAGGAGCGTCCATTAATTGTGTGTTGTGTTGTGACCTTATATTATCTTTCACATTCCATGTCTCAAATCTTTTTTCCATATTCTAGGAATTGAATCCTGGAAAGCTTTACTTTGGTCATTTGTGGGGTTCTCAATGTTCTGAAGAGCTGGATGGTCTTATTCATGCTGTCTCATAAGTCTTGGTCAACGAGCTTCTCAAACACCACCAAAGAGAAAAAGCATTTTGATTAATTGGACCTCAACAGACATCAACTTTTATAGATTTGGGGGAGTTCGGCTGACCCATTTAGCTACATGGACTTATCATCAATACATGTGTTTAATGGGCTGTTTCTGCCGACAAAAACACCTGTAGCTCCAACTTTTGAGCTTCTTTTTTTCTGGTTTTCTGATCACAAATTGCTCCAAGCACATCATGCTCTCTAGACCCTTCACTGTACTAATTTACATTATAATTACAACACTAAATAATGAATAATAAACAAAGTAAGAAGAATGGTGGATGAACAAATACTTTGAAGTGACCTTTTATGTCATTCAACTCAGTATCTAGAGTCAATGCAACCAAACACAAACATTTCAAAAATGGTAAAGTTTGGCTCCCACTATGAAGGGTCAATAATACAATTACAATTTACATTACATAACTATGCTCCCGTCTTTTCTTCAAAGTTAGGTTATATTAATATTCTTGTGTTTCTTTTCCCATGATGCTTCAAGTTGGTGACACCATTCATGCTTATTTCTGGCAGTGTTAGGTGTATACATTTAATCAGTGTTAGGAAATTATATGCTTGATTGAGGGCTAAAATTAATGCACACATGGTAGCAAATTTAGGCTTTACTGGCGTGTTAAATCATAAATGTACGTTACTATAATCTAATAAATAAATAAATAAATATATATATATATATCTCAACACTGACGAGATCTCCTCAATTTCAGCTTTACATCTCTCAAGATGACCAAAAGGGAAACACTGAATTTATTGTAAAAGATAACACCACATGGTTTTACAACAGTTATAACTTCACCCATCACCCTCTTCTCCCTCAAAATAGGCAAATGATTTATTTCATATGTGCTCTCATTTAAAACCAATTCCTCCTCTTCCTTCCTTCAAAAAGTATTGAACTATATTGGTAAGAATTGGAACCTTTTGAATCTGTTCCAAGAAAATAGATGTAATCTAAATTAACTTTCATGTGCAGCTGTTGGGTTTCCATGATGCTAGATATCTAAATAGATGATGATGAATATTTGTAGTTCAGATTCAGAACTTAGTGAAGAGATTATACTAAAAGGCTACAAAACCCCATGCACAGTTATTGTTAATAATCAGTTTAATACATAGTTTTGTTTAATCTTTTTAGTTAAACAAATTTACATCATAATTGATGTTTGCTCTAAATTGCATATTATATAAATACAGTGAGACACATGCGTGCTCAACTGCACACGCCTGGTCTGGTTGATTGATGACTATACAACTTAAGCTTAAGGCTTTGTCTTTCTTCTTTTAAAATTCTTATTCATTCACTGCAATAATTCTTCATAATGGTATGAAACCAAACTTTCTCTTTTAATATTTTTTTTTTGCATGTTGTTGTTGTCCCCTTCAAAAAGCTTACAAACCACCAGCTTTTTGGGCTGAATTTGGCCTTGTGATATTATCAAAAACTTGTCAAGTTTAAAAGATGATTTTTTTTTTTTTTTTGGTTAAACCCAGTCGGCATATTTAATCATCTCTATTAGATTATGTAGTGGTCTCCAGTCTCCGCCATAGACGCTAACTAATGGGCAGTGCTTAGTTTTCTACAGGCTACGTTAAATTATTGTTTAACAATTACCATAAAAAAAGCCATTTGGGGACCGTTGAGTATTAATTAGTTGAGTGTAAACTAAGAGAAGAATGGTATGGACCCATGCATGCAGTTTATATTATACAGTATAAAAGAATGCCATCCATGCATGCTATGAATTATGCCCCTCTTGATCTTTACAAGGTAGAGGAATCTAGAGAGGTGGTTGAGTTGATGTTAGATTCTATCATAATCTTTACAAAAGCTTAAACATACGTGGGGTTAATCTACGGTGATAAATCAAATTCCTGATATGATTTAAGGTAAAGAGGAAAGAAATTAAAAGACAGAGAAATGAAGCTATGGGGCGGGTTGTAAGAAAGCAAAACAAAGGGATGGTTCGAGCGAGAATGGCTTGTAATGAGAATGAGAGGTGGTGGGCATTAATGATTTATTTTATTTGTTGGAGAGGTTGGTGAGGTAGTAGAACTGTAGAAGTAGAAGTAGAGAAATAGAAATAAAAAATTCATAATTAGAAATAAAGTGAACTGCTGGGGAAGTGGCAGGCATCATTGCCAGACTCCTGAAAAGACACCTATTACTATGCTATCAAACCCAATAACCCACCCTTGCTCCCTTCTCTCCCAATAGACTGCTTACTTAACTAAATCAACCCAAAAATTAACTTGTTATTAGTAGTTGTTAATTTAAATAGAATAACTTGAAATAAAGTGTCGTATATCTTTATGTTTTTCTTTTCTAAAAAGGTATAAGTGAAGAGCAATCCCCCCTATCGAAACTTCAAGATACGAGCTGCAAAAGATATAAATTAAAGAAATACATATTTGAAAGCTTTGTTATGACAACTATCTCTGAAAATTGATAAATAGTTTTGGTGGAGATGATTGTTGCAAACTACCATTGAGTAACTTGATGATAAAAAAGTAAAAGAAGATTTAACACGATCTCCTAAGTTCGAGTCCCCTTAAGAATAAAAGAGCAAAAGGAGGGTTTAACATGATCTTTTGAGTTCAAGTTTCTACGGTTGCTAATAAGAGTAGTCATTAAAACTTTTATCCGACCGGTAGTTTCAGAGTCTTTAAAGATTAGTTAAAGTATGCGTAAACTGGTCCGAACAACCCAGTCATTAAAAAAACAAAAAAAAAAAAAAAATTGTAAAAATGCTAGTAAAATTGAAAATAAGAGGGGTGATATATCATGCAATTAAAATAGAGGTGAGGTCATAATAATTAGTAGTGTTAAAGATAATTTAAGGAGAAAATCAAGATTGAGCCACCAAATAAACAAAAAACCAAGAGGGAATTGCGAAATTCCCATAAGGAGAAGCATGCATGGGCAGGCATGCAGAGAGTGCAAATAACCAGGTGCGCGTGCCAACACAGCAGGCCCAATACACCTTAAAATATAATTTTGCTCAACCATAGAAATAGAATGCGACAACTATTAAAAGTGTATACTACTTATAACAAACTCTATCAGTTCTGAAATTACTTATACTAGATGGTGATTTCTTCTGCTCATTTGACTATCTAAGATGTGGCCCACCAAATTTTACAACCATGTATATGTTAATTACTATAGAATTTGGAACATGCCAATCTCAAATTATCCAAAACCCAAATTGATTTAAAGGAAAAATCAAAGTGGGTTGGCTTTTAATTGGTTAAATATTAAGGTGGTAAAGAAGAGATAATATAACCCAAAGTCATATTATAAATAACTGACACAAAGAACATCTAGGGAAGTGAGAAAGAGCAGCACCAAAGCAAAGAACTTTGGAAACCCAGGATCGAGTGTAATTCCTATCTGTCCTCAGAACCAAAGTAAAGAATAACAGAAATCAGTGACATTTTGCCTTATAAAATTAACACAAAAGCTAAAGTTTCAGTCCTTGTATTGGAGACTGGAAACACACGCCCTCACATCTCTCTTTCTCTCTCTCTCTCTCATAAAATTCTTTTCAAAGTTTTAAATATTAAACATGATTTCATCACTACCCAGTATTTAATCACCATACCCACATGGTTAAAACTTTAAGAAAATCCAACCCATTTCTCAGTTTTTAATTCTCTCTCGCTTACAAGTTCAAGGTGTCAGAATAGAAAACCAAGGTATATTAGAAGCTGTGAGATAAGAGAGAGAAGTGGAAGTTTTTCTTCGTTATTCTTGGTGTTAAAGAGCCTGGGAAATGGTGAGAGAGTGAATTTATTTGAATTGATCGAGTTAAGAGTAGTTGCTTGGAACGGTCATTTAGTGCTGGATGGAATTGATGGGAGGTGTGTTTTTATGCACAAAAACTAGGCGTAAATGGTGCGATTTTGATCACAGAAGAAGACAACATCAATGTACACAAACACAAACAGAAGAAACAAGGCAAGGGAGTTTCTCAATCATGAGTTGTAGATGGTGTAAGATCTCGCCAGTCATTCCCATTTTTGTTTTCTATCTCCTTGTTTCTTCTTCAGTTTCTCCTGCTTATTCTTTGGAAACCGGCAATCAACATGCAACTTCAACCAATCAAACTCTCCGTCCAGAGGAAGAGTTACACAAGTTGAAGATGATTAGAGCTCATCTCAATAAACTCAACAAGCCTGCCGTCAAGACAATTCAGGCATTTTACTTTCTCTCTTCTTCTTCTTCTTCTTCTTCATTTTATATATGTACAAAAATTTGACTTTTCATTTCTCTGTTTCTGCTGCAGAGTCCGGATGGTGATATTATAGATTGTGTTGAATCTCATCTTCAACCAGCTTTTGATCATCCTAAATTGAAAGGAAAGAGACCATTGGTAAATAAATTTATTGCATTCTTTTTACTATTATAATAGACTCAAGTAAGAGAATTTATGATAATTAAGTCCCTAAAATATTTTTTGAATATACAGGATCCACCAGCCAGACCAAGTGGCCATAATCCAACTGGTATGGTAACTGAAGACTTTCAGTTGTGGAGTATGTCGGGTGAATCATGTCCAGAAGGAACAGTTCCAATCAGAAGAACAACACAACAAGACATGTTAAGAGCCAGTTCTTTTCGAAGATTTGGGAGAAAATTAAGGAGACATGTTAGAAGAGACACAAACAGCAATGGCCATGAGGTAAGAGTCTTAAAGAGAACAAAACAGAATACTACAGAAATATCATTCTTTTCTTTCTCATAATCAACTAAACAACTCAAAAGGAGTTGGTCAAAAAAAATGGCACATGAGGCTTGTTAATTGTCCCCTGCTTTAGCTCTCTTTTTGAAGATAAACTACTTATTTTAAACGTATAAAAGAAAGATCAAAAGAGTGAGGATACAAAACACAGCTTTTAAACTTTTTTCAAGTGTTTATTATAACAAAACACTTATAACATGAAGCAGGTATATTGATTCTCTGTTATGTTTTTCATTCTGATCGATTTTAGCGTGCAACTTCATCAAAATGAACTCTTCTTGTCTTCCATCAGAAAGAGAACCTTCCCTGATTTTTAATTACTAAATTTTTTTGTAGTTGTTACTTTACTTTTGGAGCTTGCTGTTCTTTATTTCTACAATTAAACACAAACTACTGCCTAGTTGCATACAGTATTTCATGGTTTTTCTGCGAGTGGTTCCAACTATTTCTGTGCAAAAGAACTGTAGTTCTCTTTTTGGTTCAGGCTATATAAATCTTACTTTTCAGAAACATTTTATTCCTTAAAATTGCACCATGTATGATGGTGAGTTGAATTTGTTGATCAGCGACAAAGATATTCAAAGAATGAAATTTCTTTGAAGAAATTGACCAAAACAAGCTTGAGAATATCAAATTCTGAAACTATACGATATATTGATGTCTTCATCTTGGATATAATAAATTTATGTTACTTTTTAATATTTTAAACATTGGAATACAGCATGCAGTTGGATATGTGACGGGAGATCAATACTATGGAGCAAAAGCTAGTATCAATGTGTGGGCACCAAAGGTAGATAATCAGTATGAATTTAGCTTATCACAAATGTGGGTAATCTCAGGCTCATTCGGAGACGATCTTAACACCATTGAAGCTGGTTGGCAGGTAAGCTAATAACTCTTCTGGTATTAATTTTTCCCAAAGTGAACGAACCATGTTTGTAAAAGCTACTGCGGCAAAACCAAAAATGTATTAGCTATAATGGCTGGTGCCAACCACTCAACAGCCGAGGCCTGTGGATTAGCCCTACATAGTTAATTAATAGATGAGGAACAACAATTAAAAACCCATTAAACTCTTTGAAATTTGTTTCATCACTGTCCCTACCTCTCATTCTCATTCTCAGAATATATAATCCAGCCACGGATACTAATTCATTTATTTATTTGCAGGTAAGCCCAGAGCTGTACGGGGACAATTACCCCAGGTTCTTCACTTACTGGACTGTAAGTATAGCACAAATTTGGCGTATTTTCTGTTCTTTACTTAAAACTCCAAATCGTACCTTGAAGCAAAAAGGTACATAAATTATCCGTCTTGAGCAGTGATAATAAAGTGATAATGGTTTACAGAGCGACGCTTATCAAGCTACTGGATGCTACAATTTGCTATGCTCGGGGTTTGTGCAGACTAATAATAGAATCGCTATTGGGGCTGCAATCTCTCCAACATCATCATATAATGGTGGTCAATTTGACATTAGTTTGCTGGTTTGGAAGGTAAATTCAATCACAACACAACGTCAAATCTATTTACACCTCATCCTCATTTAAATCTCTATAAATACAACCAATCCCTTTTCATATTTTAAAAACAGAACATAAGGGCCGTTTTAATGCTAATGGTTAAAGTCAAACTTACGTCACTTTAATATTAACCACTAATACATTATGCACCCTTGGAAATTGCTTGGTCAAACATAGTGCAGATAGAAATTTATGAGACCGACGATCTGGGCTATCTGATCTGAATGCTTTTTCCTGAACCCAGAAAAGTTTTATTGATATAGCTCAATATAGATATAGTGGCGAAATGGTGGAGCCTCCCCACTATAGAAGCTGAGGGTAAGGGGTAGAGCTTATCGAGAATGAATAAAAAAGAAAGTAAGTAAAGTGGTAGAGAGTGTAAGGTTTAGACAACATAATTACTCAACAACTTAATGCTTTTTATACAATATACATGGCTGTAAAATAGGCAATGGATTGGTATATTGGCCGCGTGCACTGATTACTTCAAATAATGTCCGCAATTTCTTATTACTTTTCTGCTTTATAAGATTCTCTTCTTTTCTAAGTAAAAGAACTTTGAGTACTGACCCCTCCACTCTTTTCATTTTCACTTTGTCATTTTTTTGATAAAAATTCTCCTAGAAAATAACCCAACAATGAACAAAGAATCATCTTTTTTAATCTTCCTTTTTACAATTCTATAATTTGCAGGATCCAAAGCATGGAAACTGGTGGCTAGAATTCGGATCCGGGGTTCTAGTCGGGTACTGGCCATCGTTCTTGTTTACTCACCTTAGAGATCATGCAAGCATGGTACAATTTGGTGGAGAAATTGTAAATTCCAGGACAAATGGTCACACTTCAACACAAATGGGGAGTGGACATTTTGCAGGAGAAGGGTTTGGAAAAGCATCTTATTTTAGAAATTTGCAAGTAGTTGATTGGGATAATAATTTAATCCCATTATCAAATCTAAGAGTCCTGGCGGATCACCCCAATTGCTATGATATTCAAGGAGGAATTAATAGGGTTTGGGGCAATTATTTTTACTATGGTGGACCTGGAAGAAATGTCAGATGTCCCTAAAGGGATAAATAAGTACAGGGTGGGAAGGGTTTTTTTTTTTTTTTTTTTTTAATTTTAGTTTCAATATATATTCTTTTTTCTTCTTCTTGTTGGGTGATTTGGGTTTCTTCTCGAGATCGTTTGGGGTATTCTTATAATTATTTTCTATGTTAATCCATTTTTTATCATCTCTTTTAAATCAACTAACAGGCGGTCCATTAATTATAGCAATCTAGGGTTTTTCTTTCTGTAAATCTGGAAAAGGAATAGTGAAATATTATATACTATGGTTTGTGATTTCATTCCTTCTCTTGTCCTTGTTAAAGAGATTTTCATTCAAAATTTCAGAAGTTGGCATTTGAATTGAATGGTTACCACCAACCCCTCTAAATATAACCACTGTCATTATACATGCATTTATCCTCCACATATCTGCCTTTATAAATGCAATGGGGTCTCTTACTAAATAACATCTCTATTATTCAATCTCAATGAAATCACATAATTTTATAATAGAAGCTATTTGTCCAGAAATAAATCATTTTAATATTGGAATGTATGAATTATCTAAGGAATAACAAATGAATGACAATCATATAAAACTAAAGCAAGCATTCAAGGATCAAATATCTTTCGACTCATTATAACAGAAAAAGGAATAAACAATCGAAATTATTTTGTTTTACTTGAGCAGAAAGACTAATGAATTCTAAGTCCTTATGTTGTCCATACATGATTAAGCATTTCTACATATGAATTTGTACATCCACCTCCATGATTTTTCACCTATCTTTTTCTTCAAGTTTACGCTACCATTTATTGCTCATTATTGTATACATAATAATAAAAACATTATCATTAATTAAACTACTAAACGCACTTAAGGTTACATATTAAACCTGAGACACAGAATTAATTTAGACGCGAAGACGGTGGTTTTGTTAATGAGTAAACGACTTTTTCCCACCCAAATAATGGTTTAATGAAACTTTCCCACTCATAGATTTTTAAAATACAATTTTACTGTCCAAATTTATATTCTGTTTCCAATTCCGACATCGTTGCAACTCTACACTACCACCATTCTTTTTCTTGATCATCACTCTCCAAAACCCCTCAAACCCTACTCTCATGGACCTCGTCAATTGCCGGCAATTCAGTGGTTAGGGTTTGCACAACCGCCCATTCCAAGTGAAATTTCGATCAATCTCAACCACCAAAATCCAACATTTCATCACTAAAAGACTCATCGGCCTCCCCTCTTCAAGAGCTCCAACAATCTGGATCGAGTTTACTTTCTGTTTGCTGTCAAAATATAAACTTGGATAGCAAAATAATATTCTAAAAGTCTGTGGGTGAGAAAGTATCATTGAGTCATTATTTGGGTGGGAAAAAGTCATTAACACTTTTGTTAATGTAAGGCATTTAAAACTTAGGTACACTATATTAATTTGTAGCACAAGTAGTGGTTTATGTTGCCGACTTTTGCAAGCAAAGGTTTCAATTGCAGATTTTAAATGGATGATGGATACAAGTAGCTGTTCTCTGCTCCCTCTTAATTGATACGACCAACCGCCACATATGATGGCTGACAAAGCGTTAATGAATGTCAATATTTAATCGTCGCAAGATGTCAAGCCCACACGTAATGAAGCATTTTAACTTGGGAGGCCATAAACGTTCGAGCCAATTATTGAGTACTTCAGAATGAGAATCATGGGCGCATGCACCAGGGGAGGCGGGGACCCTGATGGTTTTGTATATAAATGATGCATTTGTGCATGATAATTAGTGATATGTGAAATATGCAACTGCATGATTGTGATTGATCGGCATAACTGAGTATAACTCTTCTGAATCAGTGTAATAACAAGCCAACCTGGCATGGTAACTTTGAAACTGATATACTTCTATTTAAAATGAAATTCCACGAGTTACTAGGACCACCAAGGCTTGGCGAGTAAGAGGTTGACTAAGAACATAGAGATAAGAGTTAATCTATTTCTGCTCTAAGTTCAAGTAGATATACCCAGTTGATGTCACTTGTACATCTTTAGGATAGATAAATTATATAGTAGATAGATTGGAATGCTCAAAGCTTTAAGCACTCATGAGCACGAGCTGAAACTTTGGTGGTTCAACACCATCACTGGAGGTAACCCTCTAGCTAATTACCACCAATTTCCCCAACCTCCGACGATGGTTGGTATCATTACTATCACTGTCCCTCTCTAGTACAAACCTAAACAAGTTGAAAGAATTCAATAACTTCCTCAATCCACGTGACAGCGTATCAGAAAGTTATTCGTTTCAAGAGTTCAATACTTGGTGGTCCTGAGAGAATGATATTAGTGGTGGCAATGACACTGAGAATACTACGAGCAGCGGGGTGCAGGACCTTCACTTTCAGGCACATGGTTACACAACATATGAAGAGTTTAAGCCAGCTTATCAACTGCTGTGCATGTAGCATTTATTCATTTATTGTGCAGGCCGACCGATCTTAGCGGCGCTACAACAGGCTAGAGAACAAATCAATCATTAATTCGTTGGTATGGTGTGTAATAACTTAGTTAATAAGTAGTTTGGATCAAATGTAAGAAGAGAAGCTGAAGAGGAAGAGCTATTCTAGAATGTCGGGGTGACGCACACCAAGTATTTGATGAAATGCTTGAGAGGCGTCACACATGGCAGAATCCTCTTTACCTATTATCGTACAATTAGGCCTTAACACCAATCAGAGAAAGCTGAAATCGGTAACAAAGTTTAGATATTTGTTAAAATCCAGGGAAATGGTTTAACTATGCATCTTTCTCACAGGTGACTTAGGAAAGAGGGAACAGGAGCAAATACTCTTAACCATGGCTAAGTTACAAAATGATTGAATTTGAGACTTGAATATCATATCAATTTCATAGAGACGAGGCGAACAGATTGCTCTCAAATAATTTAAAGTAACTAGTCAAATCAATGTATCCATTATGGCTGATCTACGATCTACAACCATCTCAAATGCTAGCCAAGCAGCCCGAACAGAACAAGAAATTTTTCCAGATTGCTGCCGCCAATCAAAGTTATCAACCCATAGATCTTATGTTCACAAAAATTCATACACAAAATTAATGATTCTTTAATATGAATGACGAAATAAGAATGGAGTGCTTGGATTGACATATCTCATCGGTATGAAAAACAGATGAAGAGCATTTTATTTTGAAAACATGATAGCAATCATTCAAAATTACTCAACACAAATCGTCTCAAGCAACTTCTTACTTGCTTCGCTCACTTCCAAATTCTCCATCTTCAAACGTCGACGCATCATAGGGCTTGTCCTCCCAGCAGCTGCATAAGTTCTTATCAATGATTCAAATACCTCCACCCCCAAGTCATCAACAGCCTTCTTCAAAACCTCCACAAAACCTTCTGCACCATCAACATCCTTATCATCTTCAAAATGCCCCATCAAAGTCCTAATAGTCTCAGAAGATGGGACCCACTTTCCACCATCCCCTCTACCAGTATCTATTGCTTTGGCTAAACAATCAACTGTCAATTTCATGTCTCCGTTCTTTAAATAATAATTCGAAAATATCTCCCAAGTTTTTGCATTAGGCTTCGCCCCTCTCCTACGGGCCCTCTTTCTGAGCTCTTCAGCCTTTTCAAGCAAACCCTCCTCAGCATAAGCTCCAATGAGAACATTTGCAACTCGGATATCATAAGTTGAGCAGCGAGATTCCCATTCCCTGAAACATTTCTCTGCACCCGGTAAATCTTTCAATTTAACTAACACCTGTATCATATTTAGGTAGGATATGTTTGCAGTTTTAGGAAAAGCCAGTCTCAGAGAACGCCATATTCGATAAACTTCAAGCAAGTTGCCCATACGACCATACAACGTAATTAAAAATTGGAAAGCAGAATGATCTCGACAAGCATTTCTCTTCTCCAATTCCTTAAGCACCTTTTCTGCCTTATCAAAATATCCAGCCTCAACATAAATTGCTGCTAAATTACTGTATGTTGTCCAATCTGAAGCAACTCGGCCATCCCTCTTCATCTCGTCAATGACTCTTTCAGCCCCGGAAATATCATTGGCAGCAGCCAGAGCCCTCATCCAGACATTGTATGTATAAGAATCTGGCATTACATTATTGGCTTTCATTTCTTGTATAATGGATGGTATCTTTTCTGGTTGGCCAATTTTCGTGTAAAGGGTCATGAGGCTGTTATAGGGCATGGAAGTTAAACCAATGTTGAGTTCCTTCATCTTTTCCATGAGAGCTTCTGCCTTTTCGGTCATCAATTCCTTGCAATAACAATTGAGAAGAGCACCATAAGTCAGATGGCTCTTCGATGTTTCAGGAAGATCAACAAAGTAATTCTCTGCAGCCTCAATGCCTCGACTTTTTGCAACTAGATCAAGATGAATAGCTTGATCACTGACTGTCTTGTTCATGCCCCTTTCAGCCATAGTTTCTGAGAGCTGTCAATCAAAACTTTTAGTTATGTGCAACTCAAAAAATAAATTAACACCAGCAAACACACGACCAAATGAGTTCATTAAACTAAGCAAATGCAGGCTTCTCAACTCCTAAAACAATAAGAAAAGGCTAGGTGATAATGTGGATGTTAATGCCAAGACAAGCAGCAACTATGTCAGACAAACTAAATGGCACGATTAAAATATGGAATGATGCAACACTACGGTTTCGCAAAAGTTGATGTTTTCTTAATTGCCAGTAAAAAAAAATAGAATGAAGATGGATGTCAAATGAACATCAATATCAGTATAATTCTACATGCTTAGTTTCTAGATAAAGTCTAAAAGCTGTCACTCCAAGCTCAATGCATAAACCAAACATAGCTGCTTTACAAAAACTGAATAAATTTCACAGTGATATTACAAGTGCCTTGGATTATTTTGCACAATAACACACATAACAACAAACTAATATCCGTAGCTAGTATTTTACAGACAATAAGAGATCAGAAGCACAATATAACAACCTTAGACCAATTCTATTAGTCAGTCCCTCTTTGTAATTGATGAAGTGGGTAATATAGAAATTAGTCCATTGGTGCATATCTTTTGCTCATTCACATTCTTCTGAACAAACTACTTCAGCTTTCTCTGATACATTAAACAACTCTATCAAGAGTTCCAAATTTTACAAATAAAAAATTT